CCGTCCGAGAACTTGCCGGGACGCATGATGGCTTGAGCGCCACCGGGGTTCATGTTCATGTTCGAGGCGCGGAGGGCATCGGGGGCAAACGCTGCGTGGTTGGTTGACTGGTCGAAAGTGAATAGGGCGATCGCATTCGGGTGCAGCTCGGCGAACGCAACCAAGACTTCTTCATTCACTTGGTTGATGACGTGATCTGACGTCCAGTAGCCTTCGTTGTTCTTGCCAATCTCGAGAACGCGCGTCGAGAATGTCTTCGTGCCGGCGACTTGACGGTAGAGCCTGCCATGACACGGACAAAGAAAATCCTCAATGTCTTCCAGCCCCGGGCTGCTTTCAATCACTGCAGCCTTTGGCGCAAAGCGGCCATCAGCCCGTGGGATCGCTCGGGCGTTCTTCACACGTCGACTCGGAGGCGGCATCGCTGTGTGCACATGACCATTCCAACCGTCCGGATACGACCACCTACACCACCGGATAGCGTACATACAAAAGCCAAGCTATTTAATACAATCCGGATGCGTCCCGTGGTCATATCCGGACGAGGGACGTGCACCCCCGAGGCCAATAAGGGCTCCAAGCCCATACATTTCTATGTTAAGGTCACGGTGGTAGAACGTCAACTGCTCCGTCATAACACACTCGATTTCGTTTCTGAGCACTACGCCAGCTTCCTCTTGTCGAGATCTATCGATTCCAGTGCTTTTTAGCTTCTAGGAATAACGTCCGTGAATTTTGATACCTTCCAAGTCGAGGGCAAATTTTGTCGGTCTTTAGGTGACGTGCTTCATACAGCACCGTCGTCACCGCCCGTTGTGCCATCGTTGGCCAATACCAAATCTGGTCGGGTCGTTCAGAATGATGGTCGTTGGGTCAACGGTCCAATCACACATCTGGAGCCTCACATCCAGCGATGGAGGAGGGAGGTGTTTGCCGCAGAGTTTAACGCATCTGGTCCTCGCACCAACTGCACCAACGACGCTATGCTCGACACAGTCATGCCTTTGCACCCTACTGGCAACTTTGGTGGGGCGCTGGTGTAGACTCCATGAGCAAAGTCGACGTGGTCGATCATCTTCAAGACGACGTCCTGTACACGCTGATTTCGCTTCGGCGACAAGGGCGAGGACAATCATATCGTATGCAAACGTCCCTTGTGCGACCTTTACGTCGCCAAACCGTGGTCTGACCGGGACAGTCTTCGAAGCCAACACGGTCTTGCGACGGCCATGATACTGGGGTGTCTTCTCGGACAAGGCGTTGGTTCTATTGAGTAGGGACACTACAAATTGAACGGCTGCAGATTTGCAGCAGGTTGCATTACACGGAGAACCGTCGCTGAACGCGGAACGTTGGGTGTGCGCAATCCGTGCAAGGCCATTGGCTGTCTCGTCATGGATTTCAAGGTCGTTTTGGCCAATGGCATACGCCAAAAGCGTGCATTTTCTCGAAGTTTTTTCGAAGTTGGTAACATTCGAAGGCCCAACGACCAATCAGCTGTCGGTGTCTCTTGGCCAATGCTATGGGCGTGTGCACTTGCGGCGTTTGTCAGCACAATCGAATCCTTCGACCATGGCTCGCAAGTCCGCCGCCGCCAAGGCCACCTCCGCCGCCCCGACCACGGTCGAGAAGAAGACGCTCGAGCCCGGCTTCATCGGCGAGCAGCTCAAGCCCGGCCACTCGCTGACGCTCGAGAACCCGACCGAGGAGCTCGCGCTCCAGCTCACGACGGCCGCGCTCGACCACACGGCGACGGCTGGCCGCACGACGCTCTACATTGCGACCGAGCGCAACCCGACTAAGATCGCCGTGTGCACGTTGGATGCGGACAAGTTCCCGCAGTGGAACGTCGGCCAGACCTTCTCGCCCATGGACGGCGAGGTCTCGTTCAGCGTCGAGGGCACCAACACGATCCACTTGACGGGCTTTGTCGACGCTGAGATGGACGGCGACATGGACCCGGAAGATGACATGTACGGCAGCGATGACGACGACGCCGACATGCTCGACATGGAAGAGGAAATGGACTCGGAAGATGAGCACGATGAGGATGAGGAAGACGAGGTCGAAGACTCGGGCCGCTTTGAAGTCATTGAAGAAGTCCAGAAGGGCGCCAAGAAGGAGGCGACGCCCGAGAAGAAGGTGGTCAAGAAGGAGGCGACGCCCGAGAAGAAGGAAGTCAAGAAGGAGGCCACGCCGGAGAAGAAGGAGGCGGCCAAGGACGCCAAGAAGCGCCCGGCCGAGGAGTCGGCCAAGGATGCCAAGAAGGCCAAGGTCCTCAAGCAGCTCAAGGGCGGCGTGACGGTCGAAGAGCTCGTCATTGGCAAGGGCAAGGTCGCACAGAAGGGCCGCAAGGTGCAGATCCTCTACAAGGGCACGCTCGCCAAGAACGGCAAGCAGTTTGACGCCAACACGAACCGCAAGAGCCCGTTCGCGTTCCGTCTCGGCGTCGGCGACGTCATCGCCGGGTTTGACATTGGCGTCGACGGCATGCGCGTCGGCGGCAAGCGCATCGTCAACATCCCGTCCAAGATGGGCTACGGCGCGCGCGGCGCGGGCAAGGACATTCCGGGCAACTCGGACCTTGTCTTCGAAATTGAACTCATGAACGCTTAAACACTTCAAATATAACACTACCCCTAGACTTAATCCAGACTTATGCCGCAGCAATAGGTCTCGACCCCACGTGCTGTCGCCATCAGCAATACTGTCTCTGCAATACTGTCTCTGC